ATATCCTGTCCAAGCACTATTAGTACAAATATCAAGGATGATTTGATAAATTCTACAAGAGAAGTGCCATCCACAACGAATCTTCCAGGTCTGAAAAGGATGCTGCAGAAGCCTGCAAGAATTTCACAGAATTCAGGAAGGCAGAAAGATCTGTCACTCAGCTAATATGCAACTATGAATGAAACAAAGCTCTTCTAGAAGAATATGCCAAACAGAACTCTATCACCCTAGAGGAAATGGCACTGCCAAGGAACAAGCCCTCAAAAGATGGAATGATCCTTCTTCTGTGTCAAACGTAAGTGCTAATCTGAAGATTAAGCCACTACCGCTGTACCATTCCAGATCCCTTATGCATTCAAGTAACAGAACATGAACAAGGCCAGGCTGCCTCTCATGTGGGGGTTCAGTGTAAAGGCTGGGGTTGCAAAGCAATTTTTCACGGCATGGCTGCATGAAGTGTTCTCTCTCACCATTAAGAAGTATCTTTCTGAAAACCAATTGCTGAAGGGTGCTGTCTTCTGATGGACAGTGCCCTGGCCCACCCTTCTGTCTTGGTGGTGATATGGATGCTGAGCATCATAAGGTTCAGGTTCCTCTCCCACAGCATACCTTTTTTGCAGCCCCATGGACTATCAACTAATCTGTGACTTCAAGAAGCTCTACACAGAGGTGCTCTTCACCAGGTATGTCAATGTCGCTGAAGAGATGTACTTGAAAGAGCTCGGGAAGAAATACTGCAGTGTCCTCCACCACATCCACCTCACCAAAGGTGAGAAAGCCTGGGGAGGTATCACATGCTGGACCATAACTCAGCCTGGGCAAACCATGACCAGGATGTGTCACTGAATGACTTTGAAAGCTCCGATGCATGGGGAGGAGAGGAGATTGTGTCCAGGGTCTGAGTACGGGTCAGAACGTCAATGGTGCAGACATGGAGGCGCTTGTTGAGGACCCTAAAATGATGATGGAAGAACTTGCTGACTCCAGAGTGAGCCACAGAAGGCGCTTGTTGAGGAGCACTCCACTGAGGAAGAGGAAGGCAGGGAGGAGGTTAGCAGTGCAGTGATAAAAATCATTACAGAAATATGAATGAGAGTCAGCATTTCTTTGGGAAGCACCACCCTTACATAACTGGAATGAAAAGAGTGTTGAATCAGATGAACATAAAATGGTCTTTCCTTTCTGGAGGGTTATGCAGCATGGAAGAAAAGCAGGTGACGTAGACAGATTTTTCATCAAAATTGACAGTGCAGCTAAGAAACAAAGAAGACGGGAAACCCCTGAAGCAGATGTCCTCATGTTCTTCTGAAGGGGGACCCTCCTTCAAACAGTAACCTCCTCCTCCCCACCAACCTTCCTGTTCTCCACATCAGGAGTTGCTTCGAGCGAAGTTGTCATTCTCTCTCTGTGCTGTGCTGAACTATAATGTACTTTGTTTCCTATTTTTGAGGTTAAAAAATACATATGGCTCAGAACAAATCAACCTTATTTACAATGAACCTAATAGGAAATTTTGACTTGGTTCACAAACAAAATCAGTTTGTAACTGCATTTATAGGGATTAGAAAAGATTAACCTTATTTATAGTGAAACTTTTGGGAAAATTTGACTCACTTCCCAACCAATTCAGTTCACAATCAGAATTATGGAGCTAATTAAGTTCATGAATCACAGTACAACTGTATTTGATTGATATCTATAGCATGTTCTACTTAGCAACAAAATAATATACATTCTTCTCATTGGCCCATGGGACTTTCTCCAAAATGATACACATGTTAGGCCATCAAGCAAGCCTAAGTAAATACAAAGGAATCCAAATTATCCCATGCATATTTTTGTTTCAGAGTGTAAGGAAACTAGAAATGAGTGGTACAAAAAAAACACTGAAATTATGCAAATGCATGGCCATTTAATAATACTTTCTTGCATGATAAATGGGTCCCAGAAGAAATGAAGGAAGCCGTTCCTAGAATAAAACAATAACGACAGTACAACCCAGTGGGACACAATGAATATGGTCACAAGGAAGTTTATAGCTTTGAATTCCCGTATAGGAAAAGTAGAGCAAGTCCAAATAAATAACCTAATCATGCACTTCAAAATCCTAGAAAATACAGAGCAATCGAAATACAAAGCTAATACATGAAAGAACATTATAAAGATGAAAGCAGAAATTAATGAAATTGATATTTTAAAAATAATATAAAGGAAAATACAAAGTTAATACATAATAGGAAATTATAAAGATCAAAGCAGAAATTAGTTAAATTGATATTTAAAAAAATAATACAAAGAAAGAATTGAAGAGTTGGTTCATTAAATGAATAAAGGAAATAGACAAAGACAGACAATCTTAACCCCCAAGAGAAAGAAAAGTTCCAAATCAAAGCAATTAAGAGTAAAAAGGTGAAGTCACAACAGACAGCACCTGAGCCCAGATAACTACTTTGAGTACTGGTACTTTAAAAAAAGACTGAGAGCCCTGGAAGGTGGATAGATTCCTAGATATGAATTACCAAAACTGAACCAAGCAGACATGAAAACCATGGACGCGGAAGAGAATTTCTCACACACACACACACACACACACACACACACACACACACTCACTCACTCACACACACAATCTCACTGACAGTATAAATTCCTTGGGCTGCAGTAGAGAAAGCAATGTTAGGGGATTGAAAAGGCTTTAGTTTTTTAGAACTATTTTCAACCTTTATTCAACAGTTATTAAACATAAATATATCCCCTGCTAGATAGAGTAACGCAATAAAAAGATTTCTTGCCTCCTAAAATTTACTTTTGCTCCTAAAGTTTCCTTTACCCTCTTCGTACATTCACATTCTTATATATGGATATGACAGTGAGTGGATTAAAATAAATCTGAAAAAAACCCATAGTTCTTTCTTTTATATATTTTACTCCTTAATGTGCTTACTCTTTTCTATTTTGTATATTCTTTTCTATTTGGCATATATATATATATATATATATTCACTATATGTAATAAGTTTTGAGTGTATCCTATATACTATACATTCTATTAGCTATATATGTGTGTATATCATATATAGATACACATGTATATGTTATTCATATACTGTATATATAATAGATGTTATATTACATACCAAATGCCATATACCAAACTATGAGGTGTTTTACAAGTATTATGTAACTTTTAAATAAAAATGCTGTTTTCTAAAATAATTTGAACATTTTAATCTTAATCATGAACTGCACTAACTATGAATCTGGCCCACATAGTTCTCTCTATAGAATTCACAGATTTCTATTTATATACTGGTACAAAATTTATTTCATATTTTCATTTTCATGGACAATGATTATTTTAAGTATCTTTGTTTTTTTTTCAGTGTAAAAATGTGTTTAAGCATAATTTATTTTAAAATAGTGTCCAAGGGCTGGTCAGATAGTTCAGCAGACTAAAGTACCTGATTAGACAGAGCACAGTGGCCGGGGTTCTATTCCTGGCATGCTGTGCCAGCCCCGCCTCCGGGACATGCTGAGATTGAGACTGAGACTGAGACTGGGTGTGGTGGCATGTGCCTGTAATCCCAGTGCTTGAGAGGCTCAAAACAGGAGAATCACTATGAGTCTGCTCTACGTAGTGACACCCTGTAGACCCTATACTAAAATACATTTTTTTAAAAAAAGTGTCCAAGTGGAATGTGTCAAAATACTTACTCATTATTCAACTTACTCTATTTGTTATGTGATAATATATTCCTAAAGCAATCAATAAGTTCTGTACCCAGACTCTAAACAGATTGGGCTAGTGGTAGAATAAAATTCTAAGATTCTTTTTAACTTGTTTAGTGTGAGATATTGATGATGGCATTGCACAGTTCTATTTATTTCATAATGCCTTCATTTTAAAAAATTCCAATGTTTTCCCCTAAATAGACAATGTTTTCTTCTTCTTTGTCTCTCAAAAGCAGAATATTATTTGCTAAAATTTAGATACAAGGACAATTCCATCCATTTGTGTCTACAGTTTCAAAAGCATTCCTGGCAGACAGACCTGAATGTACTGAAATCTGGAGAAGTTTTCAACAGTGAACAATGAGCTTAACTGGAGATTTACAGCTACCACAGCAAAAACTGTGAGATGACAAAATATCTACGGAGAAAAACTCAAGTGGTTTCAGCTTCCATTATCTTAAGATACTGAAACAAATAGAAAGAAGAACTATTGATCACTTTATTATTGAATGATATGGACAAAGCACAGCTCTTTTGCTATCACCAGTTTTCACAGGAAGTTCTACTCAACAAAAAAATTGCCACAAAGAGACCAGGTAAGTGTGAAGTTGAGTGGAGCCCTTGCACTTTCTCTGTGATATAGAACAGCCAACAACTCATTTTCCATCCACTTAAAGAAGGTTTTATAGGAAACTATAAAATGCTTTAGCATTTCACACGGAGTTCAGATAATTTTATCAGTGTATGGTTGGTGGCCATGAAATGCTTGCAGAAAGGCAATCTGGACTGCAAGAATGGAATGAAACCTGGAATAAAATAATGGTATTGCAAGCCTAAAGCAGATTATACCAGCTTTTATTCACTTTTACTGTCCAAATCTTAGTGTGTGAGATTTATGTCATTTTTTAATACTTGTTTAGATATTATTAATTAATAAATTATAGCATAATCAATATTTTTAAGAAAACTCTCTTAATCCTAAATTTTACTAAACACATGTGCAGCTACACTTTAGGTTGGCTAACCCTTCTAGCAACAGCTTTAGGATTATGCACTCTGCTGAAAGGCCACCAGCTGGCCAGGGTCAGTGCTCTTAGGCATCATAGTTTTGCGGTCCCTGGACTCCTGTTGCTAGGCATTCACAGGAAGAATAGCAGCAGGGCCATTGTAAGGTGGTCTTCCCGCCCCTCTTCAACTCGCTTTTCTCTGATTCTGAGAGTATTTGGCAGCGTCCTACAGAGAGACGTACAGAGTTCTCTGCATGTTAGCATCTGGAATACAACAAGGACGCAAAACACCAAGGTAAGAGCTACTTTTAAAAAAAAATAACATTATGTTTCATCTTTTAATAGAAGTTTGCTATTGTGACTTCTAATGAAATGACATCTGTTTTAAGAATTAATAGTTTAACACTTTGTGAAACATGTCATTTCTTCTTTTAAAGCACTGATTTTCTCTTAAACTGTGCAGTACTTATAATCCAGTGGGGATGTGCCAAGGAAGCCTGGCAGATTTAACAGAACCTATGAAGGTATCCTCAAGAAAAGGGATTATGTTGAAAACTGTTATCTTAGCACTTGAGGCCCTTTCATTGAGAGACTGAATCAAATTCTAAATACACTAAGTTCGTCCTAGTAGAACTTAATTTTTTGCGTGTGATAGTTACTGTTTTCTAATACATTTTGTTTACTCTGGGTCTGGACACTCAGAGAGAACACTTGGGGGAGGTATATCTACAAATAAGACTGCTCTCTAATTTTGAAGCAAAGTCTGGGGTTACTGTTTTAAATAGTTTCCTAATTTAGCAGAAGCTGTCTTCTATTACCAAAAAATGTACCAAGAATGTAAATCAATAAGTGATATCCACATAACTCTGGAAAGAGGGCTTAGTTTAATCACTTAATGTGAAAGGTACTGGGTTTCAATAGTAGTTGTCACTTTTGAGCTGCTGTATGTTGGCTTTGTGGTTAAAAAGGGGCTTTGTAATCATGCATCACAGTCACAAGGGTGTTTAGGGAAAATAAAATTACACAAACACGAAGAATCAACAATTACTACAATTTTTTAATTTTTATTTTATTGAGTTTATTGACATTTCTCATATATTTAAATTTTATCTTGTTTATTATGACTACTTGGCTTTTAAAATTTTTATTAGTACATATTAGTAGTACATAATGATTATATTCACTGTAGGGAATTGGTACTTGTACATAACACATCTCAGGTTTTTTTCCCACCTCCCTGCACCCTCTTTTACTTTTCCAATGTCCAATTCATTTATTTATCATATAAGTCCTTATAAAGTTAATTGTCATATATATAGATTAAAAACTAGACCAAGAAGCCAAAGAACATATAAAATAGGTAAGACAATTGTACTAAGTTGAGGTATCTTTTTAGATACATAATCTGCATTGGATCACAAGCTCTCTCTCTCTCTCTCTCTCTCTCTCTCTCTCTCTCTCTCTCTTTCTCTCTCTCTCTCTCTCATACTTCTTTTATTTTGTAATAACTCTCTGTAGTGTAGACATAGATGTATAGACATATATAGATATATAGATATTAATCCTTTGAGGAGTAACTGGCAAATAATTTTTCCCATACTGTAGGTTGTCTCTTCACTGTTGGTGGTTTCCTTTGGTGTGAAGAAGCTTTTGAATTTGTTGTGATCCCATTTTTGTTTGTTTTGTATTTTAGGGAAGGGTCTACAGGGTGATCAGGGTCTCACTGCTAAGTTGGACACGTAGTGATCTGCCTGTGTTCAGCCTCCCAAGCACTGGGATTACAGGTGCACGCCACAATGCCCAGTCTCAACAGCCTTCTCAGCAACGATCTGGGGGCAGGGCCGGCGCTGCACTGCAGGATCAAACTGGCCATTGTATCTGCCTAAGCAGGCATTTTAGTCTGCTAAGCTATCTGGCTGGCCCTTCAAAGTAAAAATTTTAAAAAGAGCTGGGGATGTAGCTCTGTGCAATGGCTCTGGGTATGATTTACAGAATAAAGGGAGGGAACAGAGAAATGGAAACACTCAAGAAATTTGTAACCTGTCCAAGAAGAATTTATAGAAAAGATGAGTAACACACAGACTTTCTTATGTTTAGAGCAAGCATTACCTCCCCCTGAAGATCAAGAAATCCAAGTAAGTGGGTCTAAGCTATTGCCATGGTAACAGGAGAGAAAACGTAATAACAAATGTCTTATTATTTTTTTAAGTGCAGCACTGAAGCAGGTAGGTGTTCGTGACTGTCAAGGGTGCCACCAGTGAAGATGTCTCTTCTAGTCAGTACTATTACAGTTAGTAATAGCTCATCTGGCGTCAATTTATACTTTTATCCCATTAATGACTTTTTAGCCTTTCAATTCATTGATATGTTTTTGAAAATTATGTACTGAATCCATTTCATCAGGGCTACCTTAAGATTTTTAATATAGGAATGAGACACTAAATGAAAAAAATTAATTAGAATAACTTCAGCATTTAAAAATTACTGGAAATAGATAAATACGCAATGCTGTGTCAACTATTTCTTCTCTAATTATACTATTTGTTTCAAACATCTAGCCAGTTCCTAATTTTTTTCCTAAAGCTGTGTATTTAAATGAAGAGTATAATAACCATATTTGATACCCTGAGAAGATTCCAACATTCTGCACTCTGTGAACAAAGTGAACAAAGAATTGCAAGTGTACGTCCAATGGTACAAGAAAAGCAGGTGCATTTATTGAATGTCACGGAAAAATGTGCTCTGGGCAGGGCCCTATGACTAACTGTGGCAGGAAGAGAGAAGGTACTGGGATGACAGGAAAGTAAGCAGCACATGGATCATGTCAGGCCTTTCAAATTTAAAGGATGTGCACCACTGCCCGGGTGCCTCTCACTGGGTCTCTGGGGGAGATTAACAGGAATGATCAGTGGGGTGCAGGGCCATCCCAGGGCCACCTAGTGTGCAGGCACGGCCCAGAGTCCACTCTGATCACATTATGTATGTGAGATGCAGCCCATATTTATGGACCTGTAACAGGGCTTGAGTGGGAGAAAGATTAGGTCATGAGATCTGATACACATGTGCTCTGGTTTGGAGACTTAGAGATTTCCTGGGTCTTCATTATTTCCTTAACTACTTTTCTCAGAATAATAGAAAGATTGGCCCTGGGGTGTTGCTCATATGCCAGTGGGTGGAGGGGAGCAGTTCCAAGGCCCTATGGTGCTTCCTGTACTGTGTTTAGACTTAAAAAGATAACTATCTAGGGAAGAGTTGCATAATGTTTTGATAATATCAATATATTACAATCACTTTTCAGTAGATGATTATACTTCTTTAATTTAATTCTGACAATATTGGGGGATAGTGTGGCCTCTTAATTTCTCTACTTTAAATGGATTTTTACATAGTGAGAAAAAAAAAGAAAAATCAAGAATACCCAGATTGTCATTTGATAACTTGATAAGGCCTTTTTTTTTGCCTTTTTCTAAATCTATATTCCTGACATTGAAATATTTTTATCAATATTATCTATATTTCTATCAACAGCTAAATATGTATATATTATTGAAAAGAATACTTAATATATTTCTTCCTTTAATAAAACTTTAAATGTCTTCTGAACTCTATGTTTGACTTTAGTTGGTTTTTATAGGGGAATAGAAAAACTGCTGATCCAGTTTTAGAAAACCTGAATGCTAGTGCTGATTCTAACAGTGGAGTTTCTTAGTGCCCCACTTTATTTTTTCAGTCCCTTCCACGTTCTGCCATATTCCATTTCTGCTGACTGTTTGCCATCACTTGGAGCTGGAGCATTCTCCCCAGAGTCCGTGTGCTGAAGGCTTCCCCGCCTGTGGCACTGTTGGGAGGAGCTGGGATGTTTGGAAGAGCAGGCCTGGCAAGAGGACATTGAGTCCTTGGGATTGTGTCCTTGAAAAGAACGTGAGGACCCTGGCTGCTTCAGCTCTTTTTGCTTCCCACCCACCATGAAGCAAGCTGGTTTCCTTTGCTATGCTCAGACATGTGGCCTTTCTTCTCTACCATATCCTAGCATAATTATTTTAAACTCTCTTTCTGATATTTCCAGGATCTGGAACTTTTCTAGCTTCCTTTCTATTGAGGATTTCTTTCTTGAATATAGATCACACTTTCTTATTTTATGTTTCATAGTTTTTGATTATATAGAGGTATTATGTGCAAAATAATGATTGTTTGGTGAACAGTCTTTACCTCAGAGAAGCTCATATTCTTATCCTGTAGGGTCTTTAACTTAGGGCCTGGAACTGAGCTAGATGTAATCTAAGCCACAGTTCTTGCAGCTTTAATCAGTTTTATGTCATCATGTTCCTAACATACTTCTGGGTAATGATTGAGATTTTCTTCTTTCATTCAAATTTGAGATCTATGCATAGGCAAACATTTTTTTATTAATTTTGTTGAGAAACAAATAGCAATGAGACAGTTTCAAAATCAATTAGTAGGAGAGTTTCAATAATTAATACATTGCATATTGTTGTCTTCATAGTGGTTATTCATAGTACAAGATACAGACATGATATCTTGTCCAAACACTATTAGCACAAATCTTTCTTCTCATTGAATTAAGAGAAAGTAGCTGTATATCTATCCTGTTTTGTATATTACAGATACAAAATGGTCCTTCATTTGTATCCCCTTTTTTTGTTTAGTTTTGTCAGAGATGGGTATTCCATTGCCATTTAAATATTGTAGGTATGTGAATTCAGCAAAATAATCCAATGTAGTCCAGTAGTCCATAATAGTAGTGGGTTTTCCATAGGGGAATAGGCAAAATTTTATAGAGGAAGCTTTCCATACAAAAAAAATCTCTTTGAGTTGTGTGTAGTTTAAGCTCTAAAATTAAGAAGCAATTTTTTTTTCTTTCTTTGATGGTACCAGAGATCAAACTCAGGACCTTGCGCTTGCCAGCCAAGCACTTATTCCACTGAGCTATCTCCCCAGGCCCCCTAGAAGCAATATTGTGTGCTGCCTTGACTTCTAAAACCAGAGGAAGTCAAATGGATTAGCCACAGTTTCCTTCTCTGCACCCTAAGATAAGGTCCTATAAAGTCAATGAGGCATACTTTCTGTTGGTCTCTGAATAGTGGTTTTCAGATGTTATGGTTTGTGTCTAGTTGTCCTACCAAAGCCTCATGCAGTCATGGAGTGTGGACTTCTAGAGTTTGTGATTAACTCATGATCCACTGGGATTAGCGGTGTGAGTGCTACATGCAGCCTGGGCCAGAGAGCCTGAGTACAATGTAAGAGAGACAGACTATCTGTAACCATTGTTGCTGC